TTTATTATATTTATACCATAACTATTTCTTTTTGTTTATAACAGATGCATGAGTTTGGTCCATGCTCAGCTGATTACATAGACAATTACCTAAAACTATCGAAGTACAAAAGGCGCTTAATGTTAGAGATATACCCCATTCCTGGGAAAGAGAACATGTATTAAATAATATAATCTACAAAAAAGAACACAGTGAAATAATTAAAAACTCACCCAAATACTTTTATATTAAAAAATAAGCTTTACTTACGCCGATTCTTTTCTGTCATCCTCGATAAATACACTTTCTCAAATTCTAGAATTTTTTAATCCACTAAAATTAATTAAAGTACAAAAATAAAAAGCTTATTGCATCATCGTCATATTTTCAAAATTATTCAAAGCTTCAAAGTACTGCATTTATCATTACAACTAAATACTATTGTACTTAGCTTAAGCTTTTGGCTTAGCAAAATCAGTGTGATTCATCAGTGACATACATCATGTAGTTATGCTTTTTCATGCAATTATAGAGATACAGAGACAAATTTGCCAAGCAAAAAAAATAACTTACAACGTTTGCTTTGATCTTTGTCCTCTTTCAGAGTTTTTATAGCCATGAGAAATTCCTTTTCTTTTTCACTTTGATAGCTCAATTTATTGCTTATTTCCAATTTTAGGTTCATGCTAGTGCTCCTGTTGGTAAGACCCAATATTCTTATTAATGTTTGCATCAACTGTTGCGTCTCACACAACGTATATCACTCAATGACACATAAAGTGCTGATCTTCACACTTCATCTCGGACAAAAAAAGCCAAAGTCGCAGCTCAATATCACATAGTACAAATTTTGCACCACTTGGTTCCCTTCGCAGCACATTGACACAAAAAATTGAGCTTCACATTGGAGTTTATAATTTTTTGTGAGCTTTATCCACATACAAAACTATTGACTTGATTTATCGGCTACATACGAAAATGCACAAAACCCCAAAATTGCTACTAATAATAACAGAAGTGTGTGATGGTATGGTTGTCATACTTGGATACTCTTCTTCATCTATCTTTATCTTCTATATTAATTTGCGGTTGCCCTATTATGTGTAAAATTTGTGAGCGCGTATATTGATCTAAGCCTAATAATTTCTTTCTTAAATTGAAGATGTTAGATTTAGATAGTCACATCAAAGTATGATGTCAATACTTGAAAGTAAATCAATATCTCCTAGAAACATATCTTGTATGACATTGCAACCTCGATTTCTAGTGAGAGTATTGCACTAATTAATTGCCAGTAATCTTAATATTGTAGTTTAATTTTAACTGACAAATAAATGAGAATTTCAAATACTTACCTTCCAATATTGGAGTTTCATTCATATCCGGTAGAGAATTATATATTTGCATATCTACAAAGTAATAAGATTATTATTACTAATTGGAAAAAGCCTATTAAAGTAATGGTTTACTAAGTTATGGTATACTTTGGACGAAAAATTAATATGATGAACAAACTGTTAATACCTTCTTCAGTTGAAGCGTCACTTAAAATCAGGTAATATATTGCCATTGTGCATACTTATGATGAGATTGTATAATGTTTATAAGTAATACAAATAGAAGAAAATAAGTGAAGAAAAGTATATATGATAAAGATTTTAAATAAAGAACAGAACAGAAGTAATAACTTTGCAATTCAGGAATTGTGTTTAAATCAGGGAGAAGATGATGTATTCTCATGTCTACACAATGAGTTGCATATGCATCATTAGTTGTATAAATATTAATCAACTAAACCAAAAATGATAATAAGAATAAATTATAGTAAAGTAAGTTGTAACGACAAAATTGTAAATATATGAAATCGATGATATTTTGACTAACCATTTAGACAAATGAGGAACTCTTTCTTCACTTTCAACAAAACAATTTCGGTTTTGGAGGGTTCAACTTTATCTGTAAAATAAATTTGTATGTTAGTTTAAGTCAGCTTTTCGAAGTAAAATACATATAAAAAAATTACTTTGCATAATCTATTGACTAATTCTATTACGGATCATATTTGTCACAAAAAAACTAAAAATAGTAGAGTGTTTTTCATGTTTTTTTTTTCTATATTGAGCAAGAGAAAAATGCAGGCAATAATGTATTTAAAAGTCTCTCCACTCCAGCATTTCCCATTGAAAGTACGGAGTGAATAAGAAAAGCAAATAATTTGACCAATAAAATAAAATTAAGCAGAAATAGAAATAGCAACAATGACACAGAAACAAAAACAAATGTTTTTTTATCTTTGAAATAAAAACTAATACATTCATCTTTCAATGATAGTATTCAAAATTTTATCAATTAAAAAGAGTAAACTTAAAAAAAGTGTAGAGTTCAAATTTCTTGTAACATATAATATGATAAAGTGTTCAGGAGTATATAAAATTATTTTTTATACATCAAATATGTTGCTCTTCTGCTATTCAATATGTCATATTCAGTGAATCAGAGAACCAATATATTATAAGAATAATAAAGAACATGCTTCTCATTATTTGCCGCGAGCAATTTCCTTTATTACTTTAAACTTTTAAGCAAAATGTCTGAATTCTTAATTACTTATAAGATTCCAGAAGCATATTAGTATAATTAAGAACAAACCTTTGGCACATTAATACATTCCAGAAGCATATTAATATATTCCTCAAAGATTACCAATGCTTGCTAGCAAATGTAGCACGCGAGACCAAGGGAATTCATAATTTCGCCTTTAAGTTCAAGAAAATAATCAATTATATCTTCTTCCCCCATTTATATACAAAGAAGATCAAAGATTTAGTCTAATGGCCTTATAGTTATATGCTTGCAAACAAAAAATACATAAAAATTATTTTAAGATAGAGTAATGATAATCAAAGAACAAACCTTTGGCAACTGAAGTTTTTTTGTGCCGTTTCTAATTATATATGTTGTATCTGCTTGGTGTGGAAAGGGGGTTCTTTGATTCTCCATGGAGAAGAATCCGTGAAAGTGGATTACTATGACTTTTTAAAAGAAATTGGAAGTAAGATGAAACGGTTTCATGATTTTGACAGATAAAGTGGGAGTTCAAAAAAAGATCGACTTTTGTTGAGAAGAAAAAACGATTTTTGACTAAGCAGTTTGAGTTTGCGCTGTCAGACCATCGTGGGTCTGAAGCACGAAAACGGTAGATGTTGATATTTATTAGGTCAAAGACGCATAGGGAGTTATATTATGTGTTGGTTTCAGAATAGTATTTTATTTTTTTGAAATTCAAATTAAAGAAAAAAACTAATTTTACCTAATTTAACTAATATTCTCCTAAAATTTTCACATGGCATTTTCTTAACGCGACACTTGGAAAATTCTCACGGCTGACTTATTTCCTTTTAATAATAGATAAATATAATCAATTGGCATCCTTCATATTATTTGTCCTGATACTCGAATTAATATAATTAGCACATACCAATCTTCTTAATGATCTTAAAACACTTTGAACTTTTTCCGGGATGTTACATGAATATCATGCACGATATATTAAAAACTAATTTCTATAGCAAATAAAAGTTTTCATTGTTTTAAATTACCAATTCATAACACATATTTGTCGGTACTTGTACATTATATATAGTCAATAATAGTAATAATAGTATTACAATTCTTGCCTTAATGCTTTTGTCCAATTAAAAGAAAAATTCCTACTATTTACTTATGTAAAAATACAAGACAAGAAATATTCTTCAATAGTTTGGGCATGCTAATCACATGCTGGCTATCCTAATTGTGTGTACGTAGAACGTTGATTATTATTTTTGGTTGTAGAACACATCCGTTTAGGTTTGGATGAAATTATCTACACGTTAATTATTTTTCTTTTTTACACACGAATGAAGAAGCTAGCAATGTTAACTGTTTCAAATAACCAAAAGGCTACCAAAAAATATTACCATGGCTATCTTTTCATTTTCCCAACAAAATAAAAATGTATAAGACATGAATGTCATGTGTAACACATTAGCAAAAGGCAACAACTCATCACAATATTAAAAAATGATAAAATGTTTTAATCGTACCACCAACCAATAACCATACTTATATAGTACAATGATTAGATGATGAGACCACTTATATGATTACTATTATTCTATGCACTATATTATTCAAAATTTGTGATATTATTTGTTTTTTTTTGTGGTCATGTGTTGTCCCACACAACGTAGCCGTTATGCTAAACTAGAGAACGAACGTGAGTCCCATGCAAAACTTAGGGAGATCAGTTCGTTCATGTTGAAATAGGGGAAAGAAAATACCCATTTATTTTCTCTCTCTCATTCTTTTTGCCATTTGAGGGAAGTTGGAGATCTGTGAGAATTCTCCCGATCTCCCTCTTTCCTCTGGCAATCAATTCCCTTCTCTTAAATGTCATACATATTATAATAATTTCTTCTCTTTTACCACACCCAGTTCTTTAATCTCTCATTTTTACCAATCTTGAATTGGCCCAAGGTTCTTTGATTGGAATTGGAATCGGAATCAAGATCAGGAAAACCCATATCGTGTTTTCTTTTATTTTGGAGAAAAAAGGGAGNTGTGAGAATTCTCCCGATCTCCCTCTTTCCTCTGGCAATCAATTCCCTTCTCTTATTTCTTCCGTTTACCATACTCAGTTCTTTAATCTCTCATTTTTACCAATCTTGAATTGGCCCAAGATTCTTTTTTTTGTGGGTGTTTCTTGAAATTTGAATCAAGAACAGGAAAACCCATATCGTGTTTTCTATAATTTTGGAGAAAAAGAGGGAATATTTTTTTGTGGGAATTTGTTGAAAAATTGGAAAAAATGGGTATTTCTCATAGAATAATGCCAGCCTGTGATCAACTTTGTGTGTGTTGTCCGGCAATGCGGACAAGGTCCCGCCAACCTGTTAAGCGTTATAAGAAGTTGATCTCTGATAGCTTTCCTCGATCTCCGGTTAGTCTTGTTCAATTTTTCATTTTTCCTTTTTTGATTGAATTGAATTTGTTTGTCTCCAATTATTTTAATTTGTTTATCTTGAAATGAGTGTTAAAGTTTGAGAGATTTTCTTTACCTGAATTGGTAGTGGCCCCACAGAGCCGAGGGTGTATGGCTTACGCGCTAGCCTCTCCAGACCCTAGTTGTTGTTGTTGGTAGTGGCCCCGCAGAAATATCATTCATGCTACATCCTAAAAATGTTCCCAGCTTTATGTTTCTTTATATTAAGAAATTTGATATTCAGAAGCCTTTTAATTGTACAAATCACAATCTATTAGCCAAATCAGCTACTGTCTCTATGTCTATGAGTATCAGTAATATAGAAATCGGCCAGAACCCTGCTGCAGGTGTAGGATTCTTCCTGAAAGAAAAGACTCTTCTTTTTCTTCTCCTTTAGCGTTAACACCTTTTCATCAAAGATTTTTGCAGCATGAGCATTTCTTAAATGTTGTTGCTGCTCGCTAATCTAGCCGCTTCTTTGCTAACGTAAACAGTTCATTGATTTTGTACCTCTGAACCTTGGAGCTCCTACCTGATTCTGATGGCAACATTAAATTTTATTTCCTTGGGTCCAAAAGTTGTTCCACCTGTCAAAGTTCCTAGGTTCTAGCATTTTGTACTTTTATAAGCTGCCTCCATGGCTAGCTAATAATGTTCGTGCTTTTTAATTATACACAATTTGCTCTCTTATATATTCATCCAAAGTGTGGTGCCTATTACTTGGTAAAATATGTGAAAGGTCATTACTTGCCCAAATGAGCTTTGAACAATAACACCGCCTAACAGTTGTAGTTCTGGCTTAGTTGGAATTTAATTTAAGCTGGTGTGGATAACAAAACTTGGCCCCAGTTCGACTGGAGAGATGAAGAAACTTTAGCACAAATAGGTATATGTTGTTCATTTTAGAGTATGAATCTCTTTGGATTTTATTCCATCAATGGTAGCAGTGAGATGTACTTTTGAAATTTAAATTTGAGTTTCTTGAATGATTTGAGGTAGGATATAACCTCCTTAGCATTTACTATGCTTCCTTTACTCACTTGCCGCATTATAAGCTTGATCTGTTATTGGTTTGAAAGGACTAAGTTTTTTCAAGCACTAAGTTTCTTTTATTTTTGACAGGATGGAGAGCCTAATGATCGCATGATCAACAAATTGTGTGAATATGCTTCGAAAAATCCACTTCGGATACCGAAGGTTGAGTTACTGAGATATTGAACAAGCTTGATAAGATGGACTTATTCTGCTTCTGAGTTCTACTTTCTGATTTTTATAAAAAAAATATTCGTTTATTGTTCCTTTTTCACCTTAAAATCATATAGATGGTATGCTTACAACCTTGTCATATTTGGATTCTCAAAGATTGTTAAGGTTTTTGATAAACAGCTATGCGCTAAGATTATATATTTACATTATTTAAAGCTTGAAGAGCTGATTAACTTTAATCTTTGGACAGATAACAAGTGTTCTTGAGCAAAGGTGCTACCGGGAATTAAGAAACGAGAATATTGGGTCTGTAAAGGTAGTCATGTGTATCTACCGGAAGTTGCTTACATCCTGTAAGCAACAAATGTAAGTCTCTTGCTCTTATTACATTGATAGGGGAAGGTTTCTGATCAAGAAAAGGATAAAGTCGTGAATATGTACTAATCTTTGTTAGAAGAACATTATCAAATGGAAACTTCTGCATTTTACTGAGGGAAAGTGAGGAAAAAGAGGCTTAAAATGAAAATTTGAATGTATTCCTCATCTGCTACTGTGGTGGAGATCATTGCTTTCTTGCTAAACAATGGTGTTTGCTGATTTTCTTGTCGTTTTTTGTACAACGAGTCCTGAACTATTAGATACGCACTGCAGGCCACTATTTGCTGGGAGCTTTCTCAGTATAATACACATTTTGCTGGATCAGACGAGGCACGATGAAATGCGCATAGTTGGATGCCAAGCTCTTTTTGACTTCATAATTAACCAGGTCGATGGATCCTTCTTTTGGCTTTACCCTATAGTAGTGATAGTTATCTTGAAGATAAAGATCTGCAAGTTTTCCTTAACAGTTAAAGCTGATATTCTAATTTGACTGTGCATTGTGCAGAGGGACTCTACATATATGTTTAACTTTGAAGGCCTGATTCCTAAAATCTGTCTTCTTGCTCAAGAGATGGGTGAGGATGAAAGAGTGCTTAAATTGCGCTGCGCTGGTCTTCAAGCCCTGTCTGCTATGGTAAACTGCCAAATAAATTTCCTGTTATTTCCTTATGCTCTTTCTGAGGTATGAACTTTGTTTGATTAAAACCACGTTTGTGGAGATACACTCATGAACACTGAGGTTTCTTAGGAAAGAATGTGCTAGGACATTGACATAGATCTTTGACGACTTTAGATTTGTCAACATTCCGCATTTGTTGTATATTTGTGCCCCATAAACTAGGAAATGAAGTTTACAAGAAGTGTCCTATTGAAGCACAACTTCATCATTTGCTACTGCTTCCTCTGTTGATTATATATACTGCTTTGATAAAGTAAGTTGCTTATGAGTTCTTTCATGGTGAGTTTCACTTTAATGCGCGGGCTATCTGATTGGTGATGTGGTTTCTCAAAGTAAATAAATCCTTAATTTGGAAGCTATGTTGCTCGGACTCTCGAAAATTATTGCCGGGTGCGTGTTGGATCCTCCAAAGGTAGTGCATTTTTGGAGGATCTGACATGGGTGCGACATCATTTTGGAGAGTCCGCGCAATGTGATTTCGAAGTATATAAGATTGATGTAGATAATAATGGGGTTGATCCCCCACATGAACGGTGGATTTCTGAAAATTTTAAGTTCCCTAGTTCAAATATAAGTTAGAAAGTGACTTTTGAATTTGAAACTAATTTGTAACTAAGCTTTAAAATTTATTATACTTAAAGTAAACTTTACTGGTGTGTTTGGTATAATGGAAAATATTCTTCTGGATAAGTCATTTCTGGTGTTTGCTAAGAAAATGTAGGAAGGATTATTTGGCGTGTAAGGATAGTGCATTTGCCATGAACATGTTGGAAAGACCATTTGGCATGTGGGGTGAAGCATTTGTCTTTTCAGTCTAAATGTATTGGACATTTTGCTATCAATCACTGTGGGCCAGATGGATAGAATCTAAGAATATGTTATGCTGGCAGTGGTGTTTTGTATTTGGCTAGAATATGATGGAAGGACTTTTAATATCAATACAAATCATAGAATTCCTGTGAAAAGAGCTGATTATATCATGTAAGGCCATTGCTTTTAATATCACCTTGTCTTGACTGATCCATGTTCAGATAGCAATTGTTGCTTCCCATCTTCAGCTTCTTTGCTTTGTAGGACTCTTTCCCTTTGCTATTCTGTCCAAACCTTCTATTCTTATTAACAAAAGGTCCTGTTACTGATTCTCAAAGTTGGAAAGAAGCAACAATAACATGCAGCTTCTGCTTGGTCCTTATGAGGATTCAGATATTATATAATTTTGATGTTTGTCTTTTCCATTTACTTTGTCAGTTTCTTTATCTGTTTCTCTGGATTCTTTAGGTAAAGTCTGATTTCATTTGTAATGGACAGTCTGAGCAATTCTGTTTCTTTCTTCAACTTTTCATGTACAGATATGGTTTATGGGTGAGTTTTGTCACATGCCAGCGGAATTCGATAGTGTAAGTTATTGCAGACATTTCTATGCTTCTCTGGTTAATCGGTTGTTGATATAATTGGTATAGTATTTCCATTTTGCGAGGTCTTCTTATACCCAATATTAGAACTATTGTGTTGTTTAGGACAAATCTCTTATCTTTCACAAAGATTTTCTACTGCACCTAGTTCAAAATACCATCTTACATGTCTAGGATTATTCTTTTAAATTGGATCACATTTGTATTCGGTCGTTGAAAAGCTTTATATATTTTTACATCACAAAATTTTGATTTAGCCAATACTATGTGTGAAGAAAGAGAGAAGAATATTCTGAGAGTGGATTGTTTGATCTCTCTCAAGTTAGTGCGGATTACATGGTGCTTACAAGAAATTACAGCTCTATTATCAGCCCTATAATCTTGCTAAATTATATAACTATAGGATAAGGGATCCTTTTTATGTTTACAAATTCTTAATGATCTTCTTCAAGTTGGAGTGTCCATATTGTGCTCCTAACTCGTAGCAAATGTAAAATTGATCCTAAAGTTCCAAATGATTTTATAAGAATATCTGCTAAGTGCCCCATTTGAATTGACGAAGTGATAAGTGGTATTTTGTTAGATAAAGTGACAGTCTATTTCAATGTAGCTTGGTTTTCTATTGAACAAGATACCTATTATAGGTGTCAAAAATAATATGCATATTACATTGTCTAATGCAGGACATGAACACTTGTTTAAATTCTAACATTCTAGTACGGACACTTGGATTTTCTTAGGGAAGTATTGGGAAGTTCTGTCAGGTGATAGAGAGTATTTTGGTTTTAATTTCATTTATCTTACCAGGTGGCGGCTGCAGTTTTAGAAAATTGTGAAGGCCCTAAGGAGAAGCTGGATCCTAATGATGATAATCAAGATAAGCAGAATCATGGAGTCCAACTGGCTTCTTCTGGGGAACACCAGATGTCGTCATCCCCCGATGAACTGAGAAGGGCTACTTCTTGGAGGAATATAGTAACAGACAGAGGCCTTAGTGTAACTGGGTATTTCCTCTTTCCATAGTCTTTATGTATGTTAATTATTTTTACCTTTGTAGATCGTCTCACCTCCAATTACAATTCTTTTGTGAACAGGGAAGATTCGAGAAACCCCAAGTTTTGGTCAAAGGTGTGCTTACATAACATGGCAAAGTTAGCTAAGGAGGCAACAACTGTACGACGTGTTCTGGAGTCCCTGTTCCGTTATTTTGATAATGCTGATCTTTGGTCTCGTGAACATGGAGTTGCCCTCGTTGTCTTGCTTGACATGCAATCTATTATGGAAAATTCAGGTGTTTGATCTTTCTTTAACCTCAGTGATTACCCTTTTTTCTTTTAATTCTTGGGGGGTTAAGCAGCATATATGTCACCTTAACGCCTTGGACTCACTCCATTCCTTCCCTTAAAATGCAGGGCAGAACACACACTTCTTGCTGTCTACTTTGATCAAGCACCTTGATCACAAGAATGTCCTTAAAAATCCAAATATGCAGATAGAAATTGTTGAAGTTGCCAGCTCCCTTTCTAAGGCAACAAAGGCTCAGCCATCTCTTACGATAGTTGGTGCGTTTAGTGATATGATGAGACACCTCCGCAAGAGCATACTCTGTTCTGTTGATGACTCGGAACTTGGGGAAGAAGTAATTCAATGGAACAGAAAGTTTTACACAGCAGTTGATGAATGCCTTGTACAGATGTCCCAGAAGGTGAAGTTCATGCTTTTATCCTCTAAAGTCTTAAATTTATGTAATTTCACTTCTCAAGGTCACCAAAATCATGCACTATGCCCTATTTACTTTTGTTCTAAATGAGGTTGTCAGTTTTGAGGATTTTGTTTAGTGACATTCTCAGAAGCATCGTCCTAGATCAGACAACATCGCCTGACAAGAAGGGAGATGAACATTTTAATATAGTGCCTAATTTTACATGAGTGTAGACAATGTAAACTCTGATCCCTTTGAAAAACAGGTAGGAGATGCTGGTCCTATTCTTGATGTGATGGCAGTGATGCTGGAAACAATTTCAAATGTAACAGTTATGGTGAGAAATACGATGGCTGCTGTTTATCGAACTGCTCAGATAATTGCATCCTTACCAAATCTTTCATATAAAAACAAGGCAAGGAGGACTCTATTCTTGGCATCTTTATTTTCTCTTAGTGATGCTCTCGACTGACTGATTGTCAACTTTCTTGTTGTCATTTTTTACTTTTACCTTTCAGGCTTTCCCTGAGGCATTATTCCATCAAATTCTTTTAGCTATGGTCTCCCCAGACCATGAAACAAGACTTGTGGCACATCGTGTCTTTTCTGTTGTACTTGTCCCATCTTCAGTTTGCCCCCGTCCAACCTCTGTCCATCCACGGTCAACAAAGGCTTCTGGTATTCAGAGGACCCTATCTAGAACCGTTTCAGTGTTTTCTTCTTCAGCTGCGCTTTTTGATAAATTAAAAAAAGAACAATCTCCCTCTCATGACAATGTTGCTGGAAAGGAAAAAACATTCAATGCTAAATCAATGGTGAAAAACCAATCAATGCTGAAAAGATTAACATCAAGCTATAGTCGAGCTTATACTGTGAAAAGAAATTCGTTACCTGGAACTGACGAAGGAAAAGAGATTGGTAACACAGAAGAGGAGCAGGTATGCATTTCAATGCAAACAGTTTTTACCTATGGTTGGAGAAACTAATGCCCACAAGATTATGCTTTCTTGATTGCCCCTTACCACAGTTCACTTCATTTCAGGATGGAATTTTTCTCAAGCTGAAAATTCGACAGATCAGCCTCTTGCTGTCTTCACTGTGGGTGCAGGCAATCTCTCCTGCAAATACTCCAGAGAATTATGAAGCAATTGCTCATACTTACAGCTTGGTGGTGTTATTTTCACAAACAAAGGTGGTGATGCTTTTCTTGGTAGTAGATATTAATCTGCATCACTGATATATTTTCCAATATCCATCTTAATCTTTATCTTTATCTTTATCTTTGCTCTTTTGTTTTTCTTTAAATCTTGTAGAACTTGAGCGTGAGGTGGTTATGTATCTATAAACTTTGTATTCCTGATATGCAAGTTCTTTCAACCACTTATGCTAAATTCTTGAGAGATATTTTTCAGTAATGTCATCCTGAATTATCAAAGAAATACTCTAGGTACTATTGACTTTTCCTGCCGGTGTCAACTCTAGATAGTCAACTTTTTAGAAGTAAGAAGTTAGTCACACATTATGTAGTGGCAAATCCTAACATCTATTACAGATATAGAGGGCCTGTATTTTAAGGTAGGAATGTGATGGAAAGTTTTATGCTAATCCATTTTTTTCTTTTTTTATTTGGTTGGGTGTGGGGGTTTTGGGGGGGGGGGGGAGTGTGGAATTGAGGATGTCGTGCCTTAAAGCCTCTATTTTCTGCAGAATAAATGAATTTCAAACCCTTGAGGGCAATGTTTGAAGCCCTGTTTTGCTTCGGATGTGTTCCCATCATGCAGAGCCAAAGTTTCGTACCTTTGAGGATAGGTTTCTTTTTTGTGATATAATGTTGTTATATGATGTTTGTTTGATGAGGCAAATCACAAAATTTTGACTGGTAACTTTGATGGAACCAGTGGAAGAATAGATTTCTAGAAAATAAACACAAATTCGAGGATTACAAAATCGAAAACAGTGTAATATTAAAAAAATTGAGGTTGACAAATATAACCTTTAATTGTCTTTCTTCTTCCAAAGGATGGACAACTTAACATGAATGTGGTTGTGGAATTTTCATAAGCAGCTGAACCCAGGCCTCAAATGTTCTGACTGAAATAAATCCATTAGAAGATTTTTCACTACCCTGGAACCTTCTTTTACTATAATCTAATTAGTGCACATTCAAGGTGGTAGGACCCGGCAGTATAAAAGATTTCGGGAAGTATTATTTAAGAGTTTCTGTTATTGGATTCTGCTCTATAATGAATTGAAATCTACTCTAGAATGGAAAACTAAGTGTCTCTTCCTTTTTCCTAAATTGCTAGACATCTCTCTTGTTATCAATCAATCTCATCTTCTTAAGTTTAACTTTTCTCTAGATGCTGACTTTGCAATTGCATCAGAAAGACAAACTTCATATTTGCGTATTAACATTTCTAATAAGTTGACTAGGCTGTTGTTGATAACTTGCTTGTATCTCGTTTTCCAGAAATCCAGCCATGAGGCTCTTATTCGAAGTTTCCAGCTAGCATTTTCTTTGAGGAACATTTCTATAGGAGGGAAAGGTATAACACAGTGGTTTGAATCTGAATTTGACAAGTTCTTTATATTCATTTATCCTTATAAAAGAGCATGTTATCTAGATGTTTTATAAATGCCTGCATATGATCTGATATACTTCTAATCTATGCTGTATTGACGAAACCATGATATGTTATTCCTTAGTAGCACCTGCACTTCCTCTTGTCATCTTTATTGTGTTTGCAGGATCTCTACCACCGTCACGTCGCAGGTCACTCTTTATGTTGGCGACATCCATGATTATTTTCCTATCTAAAGCATACAACTTTATCCCTGTTGTTGCTTGTGCTAAAGCTGCATTGACAGATAAAACAGTAAGGACAAGCATCAGTCATGTTTTGTTCAATGAACTCATTTTGCAAATATTTTACACAATACTTTCTCTGCAAAGTTGTCTAGTCTAATTCGACGTTCAATGCCTTCAACAGGTTGATCCTTTCCTTCAGCTGGTAGATGACTGTAAACTGCAAGCTGGAACTGGTAACACAGAGCATGCAGTCAAAGTCTATGGCTCGAAAGAGGATGATGATGATGCCCTGAAATCACTTTCAGCAATACAACTATCTAGTAACCAAACTACAGAATATTTTGCTTCAATAATAGTGGAGAGCTTGAGGAATTCTTATAAAGTAAACATCATATCTGTTCTCATTGTGATTCAACGATAGCTTATGCAATGGCGTATGCATTTTGACATTTGACCAATGCGCAGAATAAGACTGCTGCTATAAAGGATCAGTTGCTTAAAGATTTCCTTCCTGATGATGTTTGTCCTTTGGGAGCTCAGCTAGTCTCAGAAACATCAGGACAGATCTACCAATTCGGTTCAGAAGATGATAAAAGTCTGGACGAGGTAGTTGGAGCCACTGCTTCTAAGTCTTTATTTTTTTTCTCCAATAGTCACCATTATCTTATATCCTTGTTTTCTACTAGCAGGTTGGGGACCCGACGCTGCCCATCTTAGAGGACGGCGTACCAACTGAGAATAAGAATATAACTAACTCACACCTTTCTCTGCAAATTCCAGACCTCTTAACTGTCACTCAGTTCCTCGATTCGGTAAGTTTCTGCTTGCATTCCTTCCGTTAGTGTCATGTACACAGTAGCCAGGGAATTGCGTAAGGAAGAGTTTGGCTGTCATAATTCTTGCTAGGAACTTCTGAAAGATCTCCTGACAGTTCTTTTGTAGACTCTCCTTTTTTTCTTTTTACTCATTCTCAAGAAGGTGGTGCAGGGGAAGTGAAGGATCGCTGAAATAAGCTACGAAGCCACTAAAAAAGAGTTTTTTTTTTTTTCTGGGTCAGTTTCTGTGGAAGAAAAAAAGGTCTGAAACTTTAGGCTTCAAGACCTCTTGAATGAGGAATATTATTCGTTGGGTTGGAGGGGTGAAAGACAAGGTATGTGTAGAATCTGAACATTCAACCTAAAACCTTAGGGCAATGGGTGGAATGAACAATATATTATAAACCCCTATGGAAATCTCTACACAGTCAATGAGGGACAGGTGTATTCTCTAACACTCTAATACCATGTTAAGAAAATGAACTTTGGGTCTAACTCAACATTTTTTGTTGATGAAGTAATAAGATTTCAATAATGAAGGGCATAAATGCCCATATACAAGAAGTATACAAAAAAAGTAGAGAGGCCTCACAAAAAACTGGGTCTACTCAACCTTAAAAGCTAGTTTCTGCAGTGAAATTTATAAAATATGATAGAAGCAAATTAATGTAATCGATCCTTCTTGGAGGTGAACAGGTGGTAAGAGAGAAATAGGCATAACATGTGGAGAGATTATTGCATGTTTGATCTGAACTTAAGGTAAAACTGAAAGAGTGTTGATATTTACTGAATCAAATGATGAGGTCTTCTAAAGAAGAAATTGGGAAATTTTGAGTTTTGATACGGAAGGGATACAGGAAATACAGGATTTCATTGCTTTCGTCCAATGCCAAACCATCTGGTGGACTGGTGATATTAATAGAATGGAAAATGGGCAGCTGGTAATGGAAAAGGTTTTTTGCCATTTCTTTCCCACATATAATTTTGAATTACATTAATGGTTTCAAGTGAAGGCGACCGGAATAATAATCATTTCATAGGGGTTTTTGGGTGCCCCTATAAATAATTGAGGGGTTTCATCTGAAATAGGGGTGGTTGCTCAGCAGAGGTTTGTGGGAAAAGCCCTTTGGCTATGGTTGTTATTTATTTTTCGATTGGGTATATGGTTGTAATGCTGACCACTGCGATAATATCATGTATGGCAAGTCTCTTTCCCTAGACATAGTTAACTTTTCTAAATCATTTACCTAAAAACTTATGCAGGTTTCAGATACAACACTGCAAGTAGGAAGACTCTCTGTCTCAACTTCTGATATGACATACAAGGACATGGCAGGCCATTGTGAGGCCCTTCAAGCAGGGAAGCAGGAAAAGATGTCACATTTAATGATTGCCCAAGCGTCTCGAGAAAATCCTTTTGACTTTTATGGACAGGACTATATCCAGGCAAATATAAAGCCACCTTACAACTGCGTTGATACAAAATCTACTCCAGTAAGTATAAAAGAAATGCGTTCATCTTATAGTTTTGGCATTTTCAGTTTTGAGCATCATTTTCATAGCATGAGACTTGCAAGAGATGTAGTTTTAAACCCTGCATATTATGGAGAGTGTTGCTAGCATACTACTTTGCTATTACAGGGAGGGAGTAGCGTTTACCCATTTTTCCTTTCAATAAGATTCCATTTTGCACCATTATAAAAAGGAACCTTTGGGTGGTAGGCTTCAAAGTGGCATTTTAGAGGGCTACAAAGAAGCAACTTCACATGCAGCAGTAACAACTAAGAAGCAGCTTCACATGCTGTAATAACATTATATTGAAGTGGTGGAATCATGATACCATAGATGTTATTTTAAAGGGAAAAAGGAAAAAGAAGAGAAGCTCACCATTAAGTATGGTCCCCGGTTTGCTTCCGTAAATTGCAATCTAAAGACAATGGAAGCTCAAACTACTCCCCTCCCCCAACACAATCAAGTGCATTTACATACCATGCACAATTGAGCTAGAAGGAAACTTAGGATAATCACATCAAAATTAAGGTGGCATCGATACTTTTTAGAAAGCAGAGTGTTTTGTCCTATCACAACCATGTAGCATGCTAGAGATACACCATCTTATATTAGATAATCATTAGTGCTGCCTAATTTCATTGGAAGATAATTTAAAAGAGCCTTGAAAATGCTGGTGGCGAACAGGGGTATATGTGAAACGGGTGTCCAATTTCTCTGGCGCCGGTCAATGTGATTCGTTACAAATATGATCTCAATGTTTTCCTTGTAAGTGTGCACTACAGTATTCAGACTGGAGATCACATTTCTTGTCTTGTAACTTCTCTACAAGCATGCATGAAATAGTGGCTTTACGTGCTACAAATATATTTATGTGTATGCTTTAATTTCTATCCTATAGTTTCAACTCTGAAACTCATGTATATTGCAGGTTGAACATACACATGTCAAACATGGCTCTGACTCCAATTTGTCAAATCCCTTTATCAATGTCACTCCAACGCCATGTGCAACTGAATCCAAGCGCCATCCCAACTTCTTTGCACTACCTGCCTCAAGTCCATATGACAACTTTTTGAAGGCAGCTGGAAGTTAATGTCATCAGTTCAAGAGTTTGAGAGGTAGCAAAAGCTTGAAGAATCTCACTTTTGTCTAAATTTTGCATCACTCTACTGCTAATATAGTTTTATGATTGCAAACAATTTTGGGGTCTGCTCATTGGAGCATATTCTGATTTATTTCTTCTTGTATCGTTCTTCCTATCCATTTGATCCAAGGAAAGTTACTAAGATTCATGGAAATGAGGGAATTTTGTATAGAATATTTTCAAAAGAACGTAAGATTGTATAAATATAGGGCGACGAAACTTCTATATGTTGAGCTTAGGTTGGCAAACATCAATTCTATGTTATGTATATATGGTCTTTATAACTACAATTCATCAATGAAGGCATTATTTCCTTTCCTGTTTTACTTCTTTCTTCTTTCTGTACTTCAGTTTTATAGCAAAATTTGCAGAATGATTAGTCTGGTTTCATGAGATTCTCACTTTTTCTTCCACCTTTTCTCGAGGGTGGACATAGGACATGGTGAACTTGTGATCTTTCTTCTCTTTTATGCCTATGTATGTATATATTGTATCCATATACACGTATGAACACACGTGGATACATACATATATGAAAAACACGAAGCTCAAAGTTACATATTGACAAACCCATATAACGATGTAATGTTAATGAACTTTTATAGCCTTTAGGAATTAAATTCTTCCATCAACATTAATGTTCAAAAACCTAAAAGCGTTTTATAACAAATATGATTACTAGGATGGTCCGGTGCACAAAATATTTTGCGTTTACATAGGGTCTAACGGGGAAGGGCCGCATCTCAAAAGAGTTTGATGTAGATAGCCTACCATAATGCAAGTATTAGTGGTTGATTCTACACACCAAACCCGTGATCTATAGGTCACACAAAAATATACAGTTGCTTCACGTCCCCTTCCTAAATATTGATTACTATGATATAGAAAATATAAATAACTATTTGTGTATGTCTAATAAGCAACTTGCAATTTGGCTTAAAACATTGTTGAAAGAACTTAATCAACCTCAAGAAGATGCTGTCGCGCCAACTTTTTTCCTCGCGGAGTTCGGGTTTCGATATTCATTGGGAACAACTTATTTCTTGGGAATTGAGTATTTGAATTTGAAGAGTCGCCACCTAACAGATTTAAGGTGCGTTAGAGCACCTAGGGCAAGTAACTCATAGACCGAGTTGCATTACCAGAGATTGGGTAAGAGCTTGAAATAACCTTGAGGGAAGGTGTTAGGCACCCCTCGCGGTCCACAACGGTGGGTCCGACCGAACTCGGATTATGTGAATTAATCATTTAACAGATAAGCAGTCTAAGCACCCATATAAGATAAAGGAAGTTTAACAGATAAGCAGTCTAAGCGCACATATGTGAATAAGACGAGGGAAGTCCTAGGTTTGTAACCTATAGGATCACATATGTACAATACCCGGTAAACCTTCCTCAATTAGAGGGGTTACACGTGGCATTGACGCATAGGTCATTATATCCTTTACTACCCAATTTTCCTCCCCTTGGTCATAGCCTAAAGCGTTCTAGCAACCTTAAGATGTATCCTATGCGTGCACTACCCATTCCTTTACTTATATAGTCCCGGAGGTATTTAGGACTTCTAGTTAAGGTGGATCTAGACTCTCCTACAGTAATTAAAAGGAGAAAACTCTAGGCGACAAACAAAACACGTAGGAATGGACCAAGGATAGAATAGTTAAAAGGCTCACATTTTACCTCTACAAATAGAGCAAGCAAGTGCACGTCTCAAACATCAGATTTCAGATGTTTCAGAGAGGTCCTAGAACATGATATCTAGGTGAGCATGACAAGTAGAGAATATGCAGCATTGAGTTAAGGCAAAGCATTAAAGACATAATCAGTTTGCCTACTGATTTTAAAACCTGTTGAATCTGGGCAGTCACAAGTAAGCAAAGCATAGTTTCACAATTTATTAGACCTTGATTACCTATAGGCTTGTCTAGGCGTGGATCATCAGTAACATGTCATCTAGACATAATAAATACCATAATTTTGAATCAGTAATTGGCGGACATATTTTTATTTGTTGGACCTATATGCTGTCTAGGTGCTGAAGAATGATCACAGGCATTACAGAATTGGTTTTACATTTTATCTCTACGAGCATGATGTCTAAGTGTTGAGATTGTTTTTATGCTTATTCCTTATAGGCTAGGTGACAAAACTAATTTTATGCGTTTAAACTATAGGCATGGTATTTAAGCGAGTGTAGTAAAAATCCTAGAAACATGATCTCTAATGCACATAGGAAAGTTCGTGAACATGATTATTAAGGCACAAATGATAAATGACCTAAGAACCAGATTTTTAATGCAAGTGCGAGAATGCAGAATTTTTTTAGAATGGAATTTCGAACAAATAGTATAATAAGCCTATAAACATGTTTTCTAATGCACATAACAATCCTATAAGCATGACTTCTAATTCATGTAGATAATCATAACAGTCCTACGAGCATGACTTCTAATGCATGTAGACAATCATGACGGTCCTATGAGCATGGTTTCTACCCGATTCCCATAAAGGATATATAAAAGTCCCTCCTGCTTTACTAATATCCCCAATATCTGTTGGTATAAAAGTTATTATTACAGGCCAAATGTAAATAAATTACATAAATGAATCACTATACTATAGGGAGCCTGGATAGGCCAAATAAAAACCTGGGAAACCGGGCCTTCGACCAAATCTGAATTATGCCAGCATCTCATAGTACACCAAATGGTATTCCGGTGTGTCAAAGTTCCCAAGGGCCTCAAAGACCCCGGACAATGCTCACACCAGAAACCATTTAAAGAAAAAATAGTTTTGTGCATAAGTGTGGGAGAGCCAGCCCAGTGTGTCAAAGTTCGAAGGAGTCTCATAGACTTCTAGGCAGTGCTCACACCGGAGGGGCAGGACCCTAGATATTCTAAGAGTAGGAGTTGAAAGTAGTGCTTGAAAATAAAAATAGTTTTAAGAAAACAGTTTAGAAGTGAAATAGGAGTAGAAGTGAAATAAGAGTAAACAGAGTCATTGCAGCTCTCTGCGTTCAAACAATCAAACAAAGGACAAAACATGCTCACAACTATTTCAAACAAGCTTCCGATTGCCTAGATTCAACTCAATCCATTTAGTTATCATTAGGTGGGGCACATAACATGCTGAGAATAGAATAATAATAAATAGAAAACCATACAAAGAAGGGTAGTAAGGGTTGGAAACATAGAAAGTCATTAGTCAGGAACACATAAAACATGTCAGGAAGGAAAGCATGCCAGTTAACACAAAGCAAGTTAACAGCCAGATTCCATAACACTCAATAGGGGATAGACATGTTGATCAGAAGCCAAAAAATAGGAAGCACATAAACTTAATAACCAGATTACACAATACTAGATAGGACATATCAACAGAAGTAATTATGCTGATTTAAAGCAATAGATAGAAAAGACAGAGCTAAGTACAGAAGTAGTCATGTTGATTTAAAGTAGTAAGACATAGACCTACATACAGAAGTAGTCATGTTGATTTAAAGTAGTAAGACATAGACCTACATACAGAAGTAGTCATGTTGACCGGGATCAAGAAAGGTATAGGTTCAATTACACAGAAGTAGCCATACTAATTAACGTTCATAAATAGTAAAGGCAAAAGTAGTCATGCTAATTGAAATACAGAAAAGTCATGGATTCAACAGAAGTAAAGCAACAGACAAGAAAGCACATAGGTTTAAGCTTCATAATATAATGAATGGCATTTGGAATGAAAACATACCAGTTAAAGATAGCAAAATAGAAGGTGAAAGTGTGCAGAACTCAGTGATCTAGCATTGGCTTTCAGCCGGCTGGACAATATAGTGAACACAAGTAGCATAAAGGTTTTAGTGAGAGCAAAGTTTGTATGTGTGTGTGTTTCTGAGCTGTGCTCGTGTCCTTAGAAAAATCAGAATGAGAGTATATATATCACTTAGTGAGGTACAAACAAATAAGGTAACGGGTGAATCATAGTTCATAAAATAAGGGTAATCAAATAAATCAATCAGCCAAATAGCGAGTCAATTCATATAGAAGAATCCGGAAGAGAACCCTTAGAATGAGGAGAGTCAATTAACGGTATCAAACTAGGGCTCAAATAAGGCAAGAAATCATTCTCATACCATGTAGGAATCAATCAAATCCCTAAGTCAGACTAATAGTTTCAAATAAGGCAAGTATTACTAATTAAAGTCACAAATAAGGAAATAGATAAAAATCACAGAGAGATACAGATCTTAATACGAAAATATGATTCGAATCCCAAATAAAAATCAATCAGTATATTGGATTGACAGAAATAAATGAATAAGGGGAAAAATCACTGAAATAACTAGTGCCGGAAATAGAAAGACCTAGGGTTTAAGCATATACACAAAAATTAATCAAACCAGTAAAGAATAGTCAGATTCAACACTTGGAAGTTTGAAAATCGTTTGAAGAGAACTTAGGACGAACCCTAGTTCTTAGAAATCACTAAAATCAAATAATGATAAGAGAAATAGAAAGATTTTTCGTAGAAAAATACCAAATAATTCTCAGAATGTTTTAGATCTATAAGGATTTGAACAGACCCAAGTAGTCATAAGCCTAGGGTTTTTGGAAATGAAAGAGACGAAAGGAAATCAGTTTAAACCCATAGATTCGAACTAAAAATAGGAAGAAAACAACACTCACAAACGAAAATGTCCATAGACAGGCCTATGAAAAAGTTCCGAGCAAAACCAGGTTGAATATTTTTGATATTCTCTCACAGATCAACGAAGTCGAACAACCAGAAAATGTAGCAGGCCGGCAAGGGCCGAAAAATATAGAGAAACCCCATAGACGGGGAGTTTTGCAGGTGACGACGGCTAGGTTTTAAGGTTATGTTGAGAGAAAGTTGAGAGATGAGGGGACGAAGGGCGACGGAAATGAAAGAAATGAAGGGGTTTAGGGGGTCGTTTGGGATTAATATGTAAGTTTAATCGTTGACCGTTGATCTTTTAGATCAACGACCACGATTAAACGAAGTTACTGGGTTGATAGGTTTAATTGGGTTAGGGTTATTTTAAATTGGGCTTGGGTTTAATAAATTGGATTGGGGGGGGGGTAGTAACTGAGGGCTTCTTTTGTTTTGTCATCAACAATTCAGATTTTGATTCAGGAATCTTGAATTATTGGACTAAAGACCTCGGTTCCCTTGCTCTCCAGATCTTCCCAGCNGGGGGGGGGGGGTCGATTTTGGGTGTAAATTAGGGGTTGTTATTTAAATACCCATATTACTAATTAAAATAATTTTAAAAATAGCTAATAAAATAATAAAAAATAGTTTTCAAGCATAAAGG